TTAATTTTTAATTTCAATTATATTTCTCCGTAAAATATTCCGTAAAATTCTCCGAAAAGAAATTTATTAAATCTTTTGATACGTATTTTTTGAATAGCTAAACATTCTCTCTCTATCTCTCTCTCTCTTTCTTTCTCAGACTAAATAAATATTTACTCAATAAAGAATGTAGTTAAATTAAATTAATCGGATTGTACATAAAATGGTTCTCATAAATTAATTACGTTTATATTTAATAAGCATTTACTTAAAATTACTTAATCAGATATTTTGTAAAATTTAATATTTTTTTCAGTGAAAAGATTAGCTTTTGCGAAATAAATATTAATTAACTATTTCTGAAGTACTTATTAGGGATTATAATTTTTTATATTGAGTTTAAACAGCATATCTTGATAAATAAACAGTTGATATAAAATATCTCGATTTCTTAATATAAAGGAATTGAAATTTATATATGTTTTACTTCTTTCCATTGTAAAACAATAGGATTTACATTTACATTGGAAGTTCACTTCAATTAGTGCCCATTAAAAGTAAAATTAGATTCTTTTGCACGAAAAAATATGAATTCGGAATTATGAAGGCGCATTTTCGTTTGACATTTTTTTAACGACAATGTCAAAATGCATGCGTAGATTGCATTGAGATTTCAAAGGAACCGCTTCGTTATGCAGAGAATAACAAGTGATTCGATCAACGAAACCTTTCTTTCACGAATGCGCTTAATTGATTGGAAGCATTCATACTATCGTTCACTCTTTGATTTATGACTCTCGTTGACCCCGTTGAGAAAACCAGGAAACAAATTGTTCGAGCTTGACGTTACATCGGGAACAATTTTCGCACGTTTGCAATTGTTATTCTGTAACGTGGCAATTAATACGTCAAATCCTATGTGATATCTGTCTAATAGATCTCAGTGAAAAACTTAAATTGACATTGATTAAAGTAGAATCTGTATAAGTATGTAATGCTGGTTACTTTTCTCTTCAATTTTAATTTAAACTTTGCTTTTAAGCGCTTATATTTCTAATTGCCTGAATTGTGTGTAATTAAAATGCAAATAGAATGATATATCAAAGAGTTTAGAAACGATAATTCTGCAACTGCTTCTTCATGAATAAAATTTGTTATTTAAACATGGATGCATACATGTATATACAAATAGAAAATTGTCCTATAAATAAGGAAATTCTCATTAACTTGTAATAAAAAAAATCACAGAATTACCGATCCTAAACTCATTTTGATATAATAATTATTTGCACTCTAGTTATCCAGAATTGAGATAATGAGAAAAAAATTTATTTTAAATATAGTTTAGACTCACCAAAAACTGATAATTGCCATTTTATTTCGAAAATACCTTATTTCATCTAAGTGAATCCAATTACTACAAAGCTGCAATATTTAATCTGCCAACATTTTCTTCTTTAATCGTTATTATGATTAGTAATTTAATTTTACTACGAATAGTACACGTTGTTTAATAATAAAACCGCAGAACTGAATTTAAATCTAAAAAGACGTAATGTTTTTTTCTCAAATCCAATATGTTTCTGAATGTTGGAAAGTTTTAACGGTAATAATGAGCAGAGTTAAAAATACAACGTTAATCGTTAAAATTATTCAGTCGCGAAATAGAAATCATCGTGGATGATAATAATAATTGTCCTCGTGATCTCGTTTCACTGTTACCATCCTTTTCCTCGATATTGGTTTTTATCTTTCAGTTAACTCTTAGTACATACGATTGGATTATTCCTGCACATTTCTTTTCTTCGAAACTGGGAGTAATTAATTATAACATTTCTATGTAATTTTTTAAATTCACAAATTCTTATAAGTATTTTCTAAAGCTGTTACAGTATATCTAAAGGATCAAATAATTTTTGTATATTTGTTAAAGTGATAAAAATTAATCCAAGATGCAAATGACTTATAGTGTGTAATAAAGAACTGAAAATTATCATGTATTAAGAATTAATAACAGTTGTTCTCTCTTTCGGTCGCGTTCGCGATGCGAATTCGGCATCTTTCAAAACACACAACAAATATCTTCGCGTGCTTGATACGCAACTCATGTCCCTGTTTTACATAGAAAATGCCTGTTTATACGGGAAATCACATAAAAGAATCCGCTCTGCACTGCTTGACATTCAGGCGTAAAATACGCATCTGACGATTTTTAGTCAAACATAATGCGCTTATATACCATATATGTCTTAACTAAACGACTTACAATAATCGTCTCTCTTGAAGTGACAATATTACAGTGACAATTTTCCTTTTTTTCTCCTTTTTTAATTATAAAATTTCTACATGTATAAGAAATTTCGAAAGCATTATATCATATAATTATCACACAATAGATAATAAATTACTTAACTAACTGTAAGATGAACAAGAGCCAAATAAAATTTTGACAATTTTAAAATAATTTAATTGAACATTTGAGCTATAATTTAAAATCGAGAGCTAATGATAAGTCTATTAGACCAACTTAATTATAAATCTCTTTGTCTAAAATATCGAACAATTCAATTTTCTTTATTTTACATCTGCAAATTTGAATCATTCTTATTAGAATACTTAATATTCATTCTTTTTTTATGAGTTATGTTATTTTAGTTTCTTAAAATTAATCAATGCTTTTTAATTAGTATAAATTAAATGAATCTTATATATAGAAGACGCAGCATAAGAATTTATGCTACTTTTGGCTTCAGCTTTAAAGAATTAATAATAATTTTCAATGATCTTGTTTCTATTTTTATTTTTACAGAAATCTTATTGTTATCATGACAGAATGTTCCAAATTGTAGGCGAAGTATCTCATCAATATGATACCAAACGCAATTGGATCGACTCTTAGTTAGTATTATAGTTTCAAATGGTATTTTGACAATCAATCAGAATCGGCCGTTATTGGCAAAATTTGTGCCAGTCATATCTCGTATTGTTTGACAATACTGATTAATTGAATTACTGCAACAATCGTTATTAGCCTGCATTTTCAGCAATCAACGATGATACATTCCGGCAAACCTGAAAGCCATCTCCTATTGCTATAAATTGTCCATTTAATCTGAAACATTCGATTGATTACGTGTTGAAGATGAGTTCTTTGAAATGAAAAGTAAGAAACTAATTTTGCTTTTTTCTTATTCATCGCAACCATGGCTTACCCAACAAATCTTCTCCAGTCGCAGTCTCGTGAGTGTCGACATAAGTAAAGGCTGTCGGGGTGCGAATTCTCGCGAGTGAAACGCGCCACATATGACTCGCCCGATTTGCGACGAGTCGTTTCGAAGTGGAAACAACCATAAACCCACTTAGCTGACCGAAGAGGAACCTGAAACCTGCTTGCCACGCCTCCATGAATATTAAGCGATCAGACCGGACTCTCGTTGCAATCTCTTCGTCGACCAAGTTAACACGGAAAATTGAGTTTGCCGTGGGTTTTCGTTCCGCTCCCAGTATACATACCTTCGCGCGGTTGACTTTCTCTACTGTGTTGTCCATCCAGTTCAATGCCTCATGTTGTCGAGATTTAATGTCCTCGTCGTCTCGCCATTGGGACTTGTAACAGGCGCGGTTTTTATGGTGACGGATTATTCCCGGGTTACTCGTGTCGAGTTCAGTGCTGCTATTCCGCGGTTCTGACACGACCTCGCCCGATCGGACGTAGACGTAGACATAAAACGTTTATTGCATCCCAGAGGATTAATCCCTTTCCAGCAACGTGGGAATTAATTAAATAATAACAGTATAACAGTAGCGAATAATAAGAGATTGGAAAAGAAAAAGTAATAATTATAATAGTAATTTAGCAAGTGTAATTTAGCAAAATTTAGCTAATTGAGGCAATGAAACGATTCTTGTGATTGTTAACAGAGAGAAGAGATATATTATTTTAGTTATGAAAATTTAAATAATTATACAATGTCATGGTATTATATATACATTCTATATGTATAATTTTAGTTTAATAATCTGATAGAAATTTAGCTATGGAATCATATTAAATCAAGTAAAGGTAAAGTTTAACGAGATCTACTTCGACATTTGTACCTTAATTATGATGGCGTACGTTCCGTTTCAAGATTGTGTTACTTCATTTCACACTTGGTGTCACTTGCAATGAGTATTAGTTTGGTTTACTAACGAGTTTAGAGCTACGGGAGTTATCTATAAGAGGCAGAGCGTGAAAATTTGAGTCTAAAGGAACGGAGAGTGGTGATATGCTAAGTGACATTAGAACTACGGCGACGAGGAGCGGGCGAATGAAAGGGCAAGATAGAGGTGGAGTTCCTTCCGTCTTCACTCCCGTCTTTTATACGAGCCTATCACACGACACAGATCTCTATTCAAAGAAATATCAGGGTGCTGAGTTGGCCTATCCAGGCCTTTACACCACCGGAGCTGTTCGGCATTAAACGCGTCCGCCGGCTGTAATAAAATTCATTCGCTCCCGATATCATATCATTGACACTCGTAACGTGGAACAATTTTGTGTCGTATTACGCAAATATTTCGTTATTCAACGAAAAAAGATTCTCTTCCCCTTCTTTCTATCAAGTATAACTTAGTCATTGTGATACAAAAGTTCTAAAACTATCGCAAATCAATCATTATTTATTTTTGATTAATAATAAGTATCTCATTTAATATACATTTATTTATTTTCTGTTTAT